TTTTAGAATTTTCCACACTGGTAGGGGGCCACCCACTCCCCCCTGTGGGGCTTCGCCCCCTCGTGTCCGCTTACTGCCCCCCCTGGCATTTTGCTCAGGCTACGGCCCTGACTACGGCCTTGTAACACCGTCCGTGGCTTTTGGTCATGCTTTTGGGTTTAGACTATTGGCTCTCGATCGCAATGGTGGAGAATCCTTTTAAAATTGGGTAGTCTCATTGATCTAAAGGGTTTTCAGGATCATCACCAAAGTCTGATCACATTTAAGTTGGCATATTTCTGACCTATACTGGAAATATCGATCATCATAGTCCATCTACCAAAATTTGTGTTAGGCTGGTGGAGAACGAACAGACACACGGGGGTGAGAAAATAACCTTGTCGGAGGTATATATCCACGCTTTGTAAATACAGATGTCTTTTTAATCTGTGTTGTTCTAAATTCAATACAGTGCATGCATGTCCTTGCTTGTTCAACTATTGCTTTTAGCATACCCATCTAAAAGGTCGGCCTTTCTTACACCCAGGTCGAGAAAGCGCTGAATGGGGAGCTAGAGGACTGGGAAGAAGATCCCAAGGGAGCCTTTGCCCTGATAATTTTACTTGATCAGTTCCCAAGGAGTCTTTTTAAGGTAAACGCGCTTTCCCAGGACATGCGGTCTTAACATTTAAATGTATTGTTCGTGCTTGCAGAATGAAAAGGCTGAATTGTGGGTCTTTGAAAGTAATATTTTTATATAATTCATTTATCGCTTTTTTGTGTAATTATCGATGTTTCGTTGGTAAAACTTTACATAGGTATATTCTGTCCAAAACGTGGGGGAAATAATTAGATTCTATAAATTGTTTTTAATTTTTCTTTAAATTTCCATTTTACTGTCACAAGTTCAATTCACTCATCACCTTTACTAGTGATTCAAAATTGAGACCTATGTTGAAATTTTCAAGGAATTTACCATATTTATCTATTTATTTATTTATTTATTTATTGTCGGCTGTTATACGCAATGCATTAAATTGAAAGAATAGCGTTAAAACAATGTACATTGAACCTTGGACATAATTTTGTCCATGATTGAAAAAAGTGAAGAGAGAGTTACAGTGTGCCCCAAAAATATCTTTTTGTCATTTCTAATATATGTGGATAAATACGTAGACATTACCACCATTGCTTTAATGCTATTACTTTTTGCCTAGGGGACAGCCAAGGCCTTCTCTGGAGAGACCAGGGCCCTGAGAATTGTGGACAAGGTAAGGGGAAGATACCCTGGGTCACCAACGGTCACAGGAACCCTGCCATCATTACCAACACCCCTCTGTCGTTTTCAGTGCCAGGTATTTTAGAAGGGACGGTGTGCTAATAAAGGTTTCCTGTGGCCATTGAGACGCAGGGTGGGAAAGACTTGAATAAGAATGCGCTTAAGAGCGGTCGGGTGTATACGTTGATTGGAGAGTCGCAATATATTGGACACTCAGAAGTGAGTTCACACACACACACACAAATGTAACAGTAAAATAGCGTTTTTACCTTTATTCATACATTTTATTTCAGAAAA